TCCTTCTAAACGCCAAGATAAAAACAAAATCCCCCAAATTTATATACGTGATTGCCGTTGCACGGCGCCTCGCGCCCCCTCCCACTCCAAACTTAAGGGCCCTCAATCTGGATATCCCGCCTCCTCCCACTGTCCGCAGAACCAAACCCATCCACCCTTGATACTCCCAATTATCACAAAATACACTACATGAAAACGCCGTCTCCTATCCCCGCCCACCCGACACGCGCCCTCCACCATCAACCCTTTCCTTAAGTGCGCACCCGACGGCAGTATACCTGGAGAAAACGGAAAAATCCCTTTTCGCACATTTGGACGCACGCACATCAACCGTAATTTTCCCCCATAATCCTTCCCGCATACATAGGGTAGATACTCTCAGCCTTCACGACTACTCGCCCTTACAACACGCTCTAAAACACCCACTCGAACTTTATTAGGGTCCGTACATCAGCATGCCCGCAAACCGTCTTCCACACCTTCATCTCCGACCCCCCACCACATTTCGACCTCTTCATGCAAGCCATTCACGCCCCCCCTTTCAGACCCCGCCACGGCGTAACCCCCACTTAAAATAAAACACTTAACTCTTAACCTAAATCAAAAACCCCCCCAATCCCTCTCCTTTTTAAACCGGTAAAGTAACCACCCCCTACCCCCATTCACACCCGGCCCATAAGAAAATGGAAAACCCCCCTTTACAGCCTCGTAACACCGGACTGCTAATGGATATACCGCAGCCACTGCCGGGACTTTACTGTTATAACACCCCCATTCACAACAACGCCCCTGAGTACTGTCAATGAGTTGGTCTCAACCCATCAATCGCCCCACCATTCGATCCACAACAAGTCCAGAATTAACCATCCCGCCTCTCTCCACTACTCATATACATTAATTCCACACACTTTTATCCTGTCCACCTTTTCCCAACGTACATTCCTTCCCAACTCTCTTTTCCCACCCAATCCCCTAAGACCCTAATTTTGATTTTTCCCCATTAACTCTTAACCCGGTAACCCCCGCGAAATTATCAATAACATCTCCAACCGCACGTAACTCCTCTGCATTCGCACGAGTATTGTCGTGTCATCCACATACCCTATTATTCCTGCTCTCCACTTCTACTTTCCCCCAAACCACCCCATACATGCTTCCACCTTTCTATAGAAAGGTCTGTTAAACAGGCAAACAACAACTGAGGGCAGGGGACAACCCTGCCTAATACCCCGACCCATGGATACCCACTCCCCCAACTTCCCATTTACCTGTACACACACTCCCACACCTGTATACAATGACTCTGCCCAATGCACCACCCTCCCCCCCAAAACCCTGCCTCCTTAATATGTACCAAAAATACCTCACGTTTACACTATCATACGCCGCCCCGCCAATCTAACGCTAAGACACCCCCCCCTGCTCCCCTCCCGACCCTTCCCAAAATTCTTTATAATACTATGCCCGTCATACATCGTCCCTCCCAGACACAAACCCTATTTTCTCTCGCAACCACTCTATCCACCACACACTTCATCCTATTTCCTAAAATTATAATCAGCACACAGCAATGATATTATCCTGAAGTCCCACACCGTGTCTTGTCTCTTACCTTTTGGCACTAAAACCACAACCGCAGTTCCTCCCTTTTCATCGTATTCATTAGTTCTACTAAGAAGGACTTCAACACATTCCAATGGACTCACAAAAAAACTCGGGAGGGCAAGCCATCCAGACTGGAGCCTTACCTCGTTTCCATCCCCTCCAAAGCCCTCCACGCCTCCCCTTCTTCAATATCCCCCCCCCAACGCCATGCGATCACTGCCACTTAGCACACAAGATACATTCTCCCCCAACCTCCCGAAAGCCTCCACATCCACCCCTACACTCAGTAATTTTTTGCCAAACCACCTATCCACATAATCACTCATTGCCTCCGTTGTTCTTAATCATGTCCCGCCCTATATCCACCTAAGTCCTCATAGTACCACCAGCCTATCAATTTCCATAGCCATACTCACTGCCTCTGTCCCCGTAACACACAGGCCGATGGGCGGTCACCCCACACCGCCTCTTCAATTCCACCCTGCACTCTCAAACCGCATCAAATCTGTCATTCTGCAAATCTCGAATCCTCCCTTTTAACAACTCGATTTCCCTCCATGGATACTGCCCTGCCTGCACGCCCCCTCATAACAATTTGCAACCTACCCTCGAAATACTGCTGCAACCCGTACGTCATCCAACCCTGGTACTTTCCCCCCGCACATAAAACCTCCCGGGTCCTCTCCTTAGCTACCCATCCCACCACCCCAGCAAGTCACCACATCCCTACCCTCTCCCCACAAATTCTCCCACATGTCCTAAAATCTAACCCCGCCTCCTCCACCCCAAGAAGTCTCACAATTTAACTTCCAATTTCCCTGGAACCTCTTAGGTAAGCTGGCCCAAGTCAAGTCCGTATTTAAAAAGCTCATGATCCGTGTATACAGCATCCACCATACGCACACACATCACCCGCACACTTCTCGTCACATATAACCTATCGAGCCTGCCTCGTATCCCCGTCTATGAAACGTATGCTCAACCATTAGGTCCCCACCTCCAATAAATCCCTTAACCCCACGCCCAGCCCAAAAATCCCTTAGGCTAACCAAAAAACACCCTGCCCCCGTGGCTCCACATTCTTTCTACGTACTAATACAATTCCAATCCCGCCACGATTGTTACTGAGGGGAAAAGGATCTCAAATAATAAACCAAAACATCATGCACAAATTCATTCTTCACCCGTACATCACGCTCCACTGGCGCATACACACAAACCACTGCCAGTCGCTCACCTCTCCACCATCCATCTACCCGGAGTACCCTACCCTCCTCCCCTCCTTCACATCTAATTACAACAAACGGGCTCGTCTCCCTAATCAGAATCCCAACCCCACCTTTCAAACGGTCCGAATATGCCACAAACACACGATATCCATCCACGTTCAAATCCCGACCCACCTTAAAGTTATGCTCCTGCATGAATACAATATCTATGGCATGACGCCTCAGAAACCCCTGGAGCCACAAACGCTTCACATTCACACACAAACCCATTTACATTCACAGTCATACCCTGAAACCTTCTTTAAGGGGTTTTACACGCTGCCCTGTAACTCCTTTCATAGACACGTCACCAGCCTTCCTACTTTTCCCACCATGCTTACCACAGTGAGCTCTATTCCCTCCCCGGTCGAACACCTGACCAGACACACCTGTGGCGCCTCCACTCACCACGTCAGCCCACGGTTTCTTCCCCCGGTCTCTGCCTGGGGTCAAACATCATCGGAATCAGAGTGCGTTGCCGCCCTCTTCTGCCGAACACTCTCTGCATCCATGGTCTGGTCGGGGGATGCCTCACAATGCACCTCCGCCGCCACCTCGACCACGGTCACCATTTCCGTAGAAGTGGCACCTGCAGTCAGCTGGCTGTCTCTCCTCTCGTCCTCACTCTCCTCTGGCCCTACCACCGATTGTACATCATCCCCGGCTCTCTTCGTCTCCAAAAACCTTTCCCAAATCTCTTAAAGCCACATCCTCTGCTCGTTCTCCTCCACTCAGCTTGGTCTCCCCTTCCACCAAAGCGGAGACTGTAGATCCTACAGGCATTGATGGGCTCGACCCCACCATCGGAAACTCTCTCTCCACCTCCCTGCTCCAAGACGAACTATGGCCCTTTACAGGTGTCCCGCTGGCAGCCTCGCCTTCGGGGCCAGGCCCTCGCTCCGTCCTTTTGTCTGCATCCTGTCGTCGCTGCTGCCTCTCACACTGTGCTGCCATATGGTCATAAGCGCCACATAGCCTGCAAGTCTTGCGCTGCCCTGCATAATACACCATCACTTGCGTCCGGAAGTCATCCAGGATGACAAACGACGGGATGGGATGCCTCAGCGTCATCTTTTGGTTTTAACGTAAACCCCCCGGCCAGCCAGCATACGCCCCATCCCCAGGTACCTGCCGTTGCCCCGATGCACAATACCGTAACATTCAAAAACGTTCCGTATATCTGCCTCGTCACTTCGAAAAGGCACGTTACGTACCTTCACCCAAAGTGTAGTACACGGACACATCAATTAAACGAACTCGTATTGCCGAGCTTACGTCCACACAGCCATCTTGATACTGCTCCACCAGGCGCTCATACACTGCCGTCGATCGTAGCTTAACGAATATTCGGTAAGCCCCGTTGAGCGATACTCCATACAAATCTTGATCAGCAATGCCGTATGTGTCGTGAATAATCAAAGGTAGAAGCACCTGTGTGGACTGAGGCGTAACTACACCCCGCACTAAATCAAAGCACACAGTGTTGACTCGCCTTCTGATAGTCTGCGCCATCTTGTGAAAATCAATCTGGGCAGGAAGGTCTCTCAACCAGGAGTGTGTGCACAGCACAACCTCACGGCAATAAAGCGATGAGGTCAATGGTGACTGTACTCCATTAGTGTTGCTTCTTAGACAGCAGTCACCACAGTAGTCCCGGATTATATTTTGTGTGGCTTGCTATCCGAGCGCTGTATAGCCCCTGTGGTTTAGCGCTTCTTTTTTATTATAATAATTGCTATCCGAGTCTTCCTTCCCCTACTACCACTACTACTACCACTACCACTACTTCCACTTCCTACATTACTTCTACCACTACTTTTCCACTACTTTCTTCCTCTCTTTGTCCCGTCACTGTCACTCTCTCCTATATATATGCACTGGCGCCCTCACCTTCATGTGTTAGTGTGACTTGTAAACAGTCCAAGTCAGATCCAAACGTCACAAGCTTATCTCTCCTATGTGCAGATTATTTGTGTAATAAATCTGCCTCTTATATATTGGTTTACATGTCTGCCAAATTTGGTGCTTTTGTCATAAATTAGGTAAAAGGTCTGCCACCTGATTCACGAGGATGTATCTGTACGAGTGAAGGGAAGCCAGGGTATTAACTCTGCCCTTCCCCTGGGATCTTATCTGTCTGCCTCATATTCCCAGGGGTGGATTTACTATGAAACTAATAAAGCTTAAGCTTCAGGGGCCCTTAATCCCGGAGGGGCCCCATAAATGACTTTAGTCCACATTGCTTATAAATTTTAGGGCCCACTTAACAGTTCAAGCTTCAGGGACCCAAAAATGTAGGTCTGCCACTGCACGTTTCCCAGGGGTTGCATCACCCCTGTGGGTTTGGCTCACCGCCATTAACGTAAGACCGGTTGTCCGTTGCAGATCGTGGAGCAGTCGGATGTGGTGCGGTACATGGTGGTACTTCTGTATCCTGAGTACCACAGTGTACCGTGGTATCCTTATATCTCACCTGACAGTACCAGTCCGCAGCCCTACCCTCGACACCCTGGACCAGCTGGCCTCCAGCAACCTCCAGTGGGGCATGCTCGACACATATGACTCTGGCTACCAGCTCTTTCGCGCCTCTAAGGTACCATCATCAGTCGCTTGCATCTGTGAGTCTTTCACAATACAACTCTTTCAGGCCCTCAAGGTGCCATCATCAGTCACACTTGTTTTAGTACCAATGACTCTGCCTCCCCGCCCTTTCGCGCCTCTAAGGTACCGTCATCAGGTGTTTACATCTCTGTATTAATGTATGATTCATTTAAGTTGCTTAGCTAGTAAATGCTGAGGTCCAGCTCCTGGACCCATTATTTACTTCTGTAATGTCTTGACAAACGTACACTATGGGTATAATGTGACTACCACTCACAGTATGAGTACAGTGGTACTACCGCTCTCAGTATGGGTACAGTAATACCACCACCCATAGTATGGGTTCAGTGATACCACCACCCACAGTATGGGTACAGTGATACCACCGCCCACAGTATGGGTAAAGTGGTACTTTCAACCCACAGTATGGGTACAACAGTACCACCACCCACAGTATGGGTACAATGGTACTACCACCCACAGTATGGGTACAGTGGTACTGCCACCCACAGTACTTGGTGCCTATCGACTACACGAGGGTTTAAAGTCTATCTGTTACACCAGGATCATTAAGACATAACAGACATGCAACACCAGCCAAGAATAATTTAACAATCAATAGGGTACCCGTTGTTAAATCAGCACCTTGGTCCATTGACCAATCACAGACAAGCCAGCCAAAGCTGAAGCAACGTGGTTCACTTGTGCCAAGTGAACTGACAGACTTGTCTGGGCTGCTGGCTGAGCACGTTGCATTCTCTGGCTTCTGCCGTCCTTTGCCAAAGTGTGGTACACTTATTATTACACCTTTGTACGTAGTGTACATACGTTTTATAAATCTGACGAATTATATCTTGTGAAGGAAAATACAAGTCATATGCTATTGTTGAGGTGGTTTGCTCCGCTCTGAAACATGTTTCGAACAGGTCGCGGGCCATACTGTACCCGTGTTCGTAATACCCAGGTGAAGGTGGGAAGGTACTGACCTTTATCATGTGGAGTCAGGTATAGTGTTGTTGCAGGTACCAGTGTACCAGACACTCTTCCACAAGATGCAGTACCACAACATGAAGTCTTCCATGAACAAAGTTCTACAAGGTAACTACGCTTTCATATCGTGGAAGACTTACTTCAGGAACCTCATCGCTCGCTACTACTCAGACAACAACGGCGCCACTCAGGTAAATGTCGGCGTCACTCAGGTAACTGTTGGCGTCATCCAGTAGCTGTACTGTCTTCCCAGTATCTTCACTGCTGTTTGTTTTCAGGTTTATATTGCTAGGGAAGAGTTCTTTCCTGGAGGCTTCGGTTGGGCCTTCCCGAAGGACTCTCCTTACCTGAGTTCCTTCGACCGGGTGTTCCAGCGACTGGTGGAGTCTGGTCTTATTGACAAGTGGATGACCGATCTAATCCAGCTGTCAGCCTCCGAGAACAGGGAGAAGGTGCTACTGGAGGCGGAGGTGGAAGGTGCCGAGGCTTTCACTGTGTTCCACCTGCAGGGGATATTTTTAATCATGCTCGGAGGGTTCCTGCTGGCATTGATGGCCTTCCTGGGGGAGGTGATGCTGGGGTACCTCAGTGTTGAATTGAAGTAGTGGGGGATGGGGAAGCTGTAACAGTCACTCCTAATCTTTTCCACAACGTCTACCCTCCCATTACTACTGTTACTTCCCTATCCATGGCATCGAACACACTCCACCTCACCGCCACCTCCACAACCTCCCCTCCTCTCCCAATCTTTCAAAGAATATATGCACCGAGAGGTATATATCTGTTGGTGTATATACACTGAGAGCTTACCTTAATCCCTATTGTAGGGACTAAAGCATTCTCGTGTAACTGATAGGATTTAAACTCCATTAACCAACCAACCTTTCCTGCTACGAGTCCTGGTCTCAGACCGAGCCGCGGGGGCGTAGACCCCTGAAACCCTCTCCAGGTATACTAGAGGTATACGTCTAGCATTCAAGGTTCACTAACCTATTACATTATTATAATAATCACAACTAAGAGCTAAACCCTAAACTGTACCTCCATCACCACCTCCATCACAACTGTACCTCCATCACCACCTCATATATTGTATCTAAATCTTCACAAAAAATATTAAAAAACTTGTGTCAACAATTTTCTCATAAATCTGAAAATATAATTTTATATTTTCTCTTTAAATATAATATTCAGTAATTTTGGTGCTTATTAATAAAGAAATAAATAGCAAATAAATAAAAAATTATTTTAATATTCCTGACATGGGTTAGTTTATTAGGTTTAAAGCCGATCTACTACACGATTTCCATTAACGCTGCACGTCACGTGTATGCCTCACATTGTGTATACCAAGACGAGTATGAATCTCATACTTGTCTCGGTATACATAATATGTATTCCGAAACGAGTGAAGTGCCCTGGAAGGTAAACATTACCTTGCCCTGAAACGTTTCGCGTACATAGTAGACTTCTTCAGTCGAGTACAGAGTCAGCAGAAACAGTAGACATGTGAAGACGAAGTAATCAGTCCATCAGCCTTAAAGGCGTAGTTTGGAGATGGTCAGTCCCTCAGCCTGGAGGCTGAGGTGGTCGAGGTTTTGGTCAGGTGACCAAAACCTCGAGATGTGGGGCATCAAACAACGAAGACCAGCGTCAGGAAGAACTGATCCTGTTTCCTGACAACCATTATAAGTGGACCCCCGGTTAACGATATTTTTTCACTCCAGAAGTATGTTCAGGTGCCAGTACTGACCGAATTTGTTCCCATAAGGAATATTGTGAAGTAGATTAGTCCATTTCAGACCCCCAAACATACACATACAAACACACTTACATAAATACACTTACATAATTCGTCGCATTCGGAGGTAATCGTTATGCGGGGGTCCACTATTTCCACTCTTCTTCCCAAGTTGACCCTCGTAAGAGAACTGTGCACTTTAAATGAAGCAAAAGAACGAAGGAAATAAAAGTTCGACAGTTGAAAAGGAGAGGAAGAGGAAATATAAATTGCAATTTTTTTTCATAAGTTACCCAATAATATTTTCGTTTTCAGATTAAACCGAAAGAAAGAAAATAGGTTTTAAGGTAAACTCGTTTATTTTGTAACTAAAGACCATTTGTGTAAATTAAAAATAATATTTATTTCTACATCACATGTACAAGGTATACAGACCATAGTTGACATCAATGACATACTACTATATAGAAAGTTGCTTGTTATGCTGAACATTTCCCGCAAATTAGGTCAGTTTTGTCCCAGGATGTGACCCACACCAGTCCACTAACACCCAGGATGCGACCCACACCAGTCCACTAACACCCAGGATGCGACCCACACCAGTCCACTAACACCCAGGATGCGACCCACACCAGTCCACTAACACCCAGGATGTGACCCACACCAGTCCACTAACACCCAGGATGTGACCCACACCAGTCCACTAACACCCAGGTACCTATTTTACTGATGGGTGAACATGGACAACCAGTGTAAAGAAACACGCCCAATGTTTCTACCCTGGCTGGGAATCGAGCCCAGACCCTCTCCATGTGAAGCCTTAGCCACCAGGCCGCCAGAGCCCAAATTGCTATAAGTACATTCACGTATACACAACGACTGACATAGATTATCATACATGACGGCATGTGTGTAGACACGCCAGGATAACCCCAAAAATGCCAGACATAGTGAGTTATATCCACTGGGCTCCTTGTGATAAGTATTATTTATTAAGAAGATAAAAACTGGAGTGTGTGGCCTAACACACCAGTAATGTGGCCCACACACCAGTAATGTGGCCCACACGCCAGTAATGTGGCCCACACACCAGTAATGTGGCCCACACACCAGTAATTCAATTCAATTCAAAGTTTATTCTCTATAAGGATTACAATGCTGAGTTTACAGAATTTGGTTATTGTGTGGTTTACATGTAGTAAAATAATAATTACAGAGTGTACCACTAGAACACCTAGCATGGCTAGGCATTTCGGGCAGACTTATATTAAATCTTAAGTTTAAAATATTACAAAATTATGAGGTAAGTTGGTATTATGGCTAAGTGACTAAATACTAGTTGTGAGTTTAGCCATGTGAATGCTTTTGTTTTGGCACTATACATAGTTTCAGTATTAGAGTATCACAGGCCAACTTATGACTAGTTAAGATTCATTATTTTGAGATTGAGATTGATATTTCTGTTTATGGTCAAATGGGTGAGTGAGTGTAAGTGTGAACCACCAGGTGGTATTCGTATTATTAGTTGACAGGGTGTATCAGGGAGATAAGATGTTTTCTGATGGTAGTTTTGAAGGTGATGAATGTGTCTGCAGTTCTAGAGTTCTCAGGTAGGGTGTTCCAGATTTTAGGGCCTTTGACATACATTGAATTTTTGTAAAGGTTTAGTCGGACACGGGGAATGTCATAGAGATGTTTGTGTCTGGTGTTATGCCTGTGGGTTCTGTCACAACTATCAAGAAAGCGTTTTAGGTCAAGGTTAATATTGAGATTTAAGGTCCTGTAGATGTAGATTGCACAGTAGTAAGTGTGGATGTACTGAACAGGGAGTAAGTTTAGATCTATGAAGAATGGGGGGGGGGTGTTGCCAGGGATGGGATTTAGTGATTATTCTTACTGCAGCTTTTTGTTGGGTTATTATTGGCTTTAGGTGTGTTGCTGCAGTTGAACCCCATGCACAGATAGCATAGGTGAGGTATGGATATATAAGTGAATGGTATAGTGTGAGAAGGGCAGTTTGCGGCACGTAGTATCGTATCTTGGAGAGGATCCCATCCGTTTTGGATACTTTTTTGGTTATGTGTTGGATATGGGTGCTGAAGTTCAGGTTGTTGTCGAGGTATAGGTCTAGGAATTTGCCCTCATTATGCCTGGCAATTAGAGTGTTGTCGATCATAATGTTAATTTGCGCATCTCCTGCTCTGCTACCAAACATAATGTAGTAGGTTTTGTCAACGTTAAGCGTAAGTTTATTGGCTGTCATCCAAGTCGATATTTTGATCAGCTCCTCATTAACAATGGTGTTGAGGGTGGCAAGATTAGGGTGAGAGATGACATAAGTCGTGTCGTCAGCAAAGAGAATGGGGTTCAGGTGTCGAGATACGTTTGGAAGATCATTGATGTATACGAGGAAGAGCAGGGGACCAAGGACACTTCCCTGCGGAACTCCAGTATCAAGTGGCTGTGTTGTTGATGCTGTGTCTTTAATGGTGACATACTGATACCTATTAGTAAGGTAAGATTTGAAATAAGCAAGCGCATGGCCTCTTGTACCATAATGGTCAAGTTTATGGAGTAGGATGTCGTGGTCTACTGTGTCAAAAGCTTTTCTTAGGTCAATAAAAATTCCTAGTGGATATTCCTTATTTTCCAATGCTGTGTAAAGCAGATCTAGCATTTTTATGATTGCATCGTTAGTGCTTTTATTTTTCCTGAATCCAAATTGGCAGGGGTTGAGTATGTTTTGTGCCGTTATAAATGAATACAGTCTCCTGTTTACCTGGAGTTTACCTGGAGAGAGTTTCTCAAAGATTTTGGATAGCAATGGTAAGTTTGATATTGGACTATAGTTGTTTAAGTCTGTAGGGTCACCACCTTTATGTATTGGTGTAACCCTTGCCATCTTGAGTAATTTCGGGAAGGTGCTAGTTTCTAGTGACTTGTTAATATGCGAGAGGACATGGGCCACTCTCTTGTACAATAATGGTGGGACATGAGACAGATTCCCTGAGTTATTTTTAAGTGACTTTATAATCTCGGTGACTTCCGAGGGCTCAGTTGGAGCAAGATAGAAGGAATTTGGGAAATTCCCATCTAGGTAGTCCCCGGCGTGGGCATTGGTATGTGGGATTTTATTGGCGAGATTAGATCCAATGGTTGAGAAGAAGTCGTTTATCTTGTTAGCTGTGTCAGTGGGATGCAGTGGTGTTTCATTAGGTTTAGTTAGGACAATATTCTTGTTTTTTTCAGTTTGTGGGTCCCTAGAATCTGAGAGAGTGTTTTCCAGGTCTTTTTTATATCTCCTCTAGTGTCTGTGAATCTACTGGAGTAGTATAGTTGTTTGGCTTTCTTTATTACTTTGGTGAGAACTGATGAATAGTGTTTAAGAATATCTTTGTGTATTAAGCCCTGTCTACATTGCTTTTCATATTGGTGTTTCTTATCAATGGATTTCAGAATGGTGCTGGTTAGCCATGGGCAACCAAGCCGTTTGTTTGTGATCTGTTTCGTTTTTATAGGACAATGTTTGTTGTATAGTCTAAGTAGTTTATTAAGAAAAATGTCTGTCCAGTCATCAATACCATTGGCCTTGGAGAATTCTGTAGACCAGTCAACAGTCTCTAGGTCAGCTGTGAACTTCCTTATTGAGGCCTCATCATGGAGTCTAAATGAGACTTTGTTGTATTCAAGTGGTGGTTTACTAATGTTTGTCAAGAGGAAGGTAGGGTAGTGGTCTGTAGTGCTATCTGTGATTATCCCTGATTTAAGGGGGGCTAGTATATTGGTCCATATGTGGTCTATTATGGTTGCACTTGTCTCAGTGAGCCTGGTTGGTTTAGTTATTCACACCAGTAGTGTGTCCCCCACACACCAGTAGTGTGTCCCCCACACCAGTAGTGTGTCCCCCACACCAGTAGTGTGTCCCCCACACCAGTAGTGTGTCCCCCACACCAGTAGTGTGTCCCCCCACACCAGTAGTGTGTCCCCCACACCAGTAGTGTGTCCCCCACACCAGTAGTGTGTCCCCCACACCAGTAGTGTGTCCCCACACCAGTAGTGTGTCCCCCACACCAGTAGTGTGTCCCCCACACCAGTAGTGTGTCCCCCACACCAGTAGTGTGTCCCCCACACCAGTAGTGTGTCCCCCACACCAGTAGTGTGTCCCCCACACACCAGTAGTGTGTCCCCCACACACCAGTAGTGTGTCCCCCACACCAGTAGTGTGTCCCCCACACACCAGTAGTGTGTCCCCCACACCAGTAGTGTGTCCCCCACACACCAGTAGTGTGTCCCCCACACACCAGTAGTGTGTCCCCCACACCAGTAGTGTGTCCCCCACACCAGTAGTGTGTCCCCCACACACCAGTAGTGTGTCCCCCACACACCAGTAGTGTGTCCCCCACACACCAGTAGTGTGTCCCCCACACACCAGTAGTGGTGTCCCCCACACACCAGTAGTGTGTCCCCCACACCAG